TTCAAACCAAAGGGATTACTGCCTTCACAGGCTCACTGGTCCTTGGAACACTCAAGTGTATATCCTTATTAGAAAGGATGGTACCATTCCACTTCATTTTATTTATTTTTATCACAAGGCTGCCAATTATCATTACTTCTATCTTCCAATATTCCAATCCAATAATGAACTGTATTTAAATACTATTAAGTTTAGTAATGTCAGTGAATACAGGTAGTCCTCAATTTATGGCAATTGAACCCAAAATTTATGTTGCTACGTGAGAAATTGGTTAAGTGCGTTTTGCCTTACAACTTTTCTTACCACATTTGTTTAGTGAATCACTGCAATTGTGACATTAGTAACATAGCTGTTAAGTGAATCTGGTTTTCCCATTGACATTGTCAGAAAGTCACAAAAGGGGATCACAAGACTCCAGGACACTGCAACTGTCACAAATGTGAGTCAGCTGTCATGCATCCAAATGTAAATCATGTGGCCATGGGGATGCTACAATGATCATAAGTGTGAAAAATGGTCATAAATCACTTTTTCAGTGCCATTATAACTTTGAATGGTCACTAAATGAACTGTTGTAAATCGAGAACTACTTGTAATCTGAAGATCACTAAGTACTCTGTAAGACCTACACTGTAAATCAACACTGCAAATGAATACAGGTAGTCTTCAGCTTATGCCCCAATTGGAACTGGACTTTTCATCAGAAGTTGGTGTGATCATAAAGCAAGTCATCATATGACTCGACACAATTTTATTACTATTTTCACCCTGATTAAGTGAATCACCATTAAATGAATTACACAATTGTTAAGTGAATCAGGCTTCCAGAATTTACTCTGCTTATTGGGAGGTCATAAGTTGTGATCACATGACTGCAAGATAGCAATAACACTAGCATTTAGATTTATATACCGCTTTATAGTGCTTTACAACCCTCTCTAGGCCATTTAAAGAATCAGCGTATTGCCCCCAACAATTTGGGTCCTCATTTTACCCACCTTGGAAGAATGTAAGGCCGAGTCAACCTTGAGCCTGGTGGGATATGAACTGCCAAACTGTAGGCAGCTGGCTGCAAAAGTAGCTTGCAATACTGCAACTCCAACCACTGCGCCACAGAGGCTCCTAAGATGCTGCAATTGTCCCACATGTGAGCTAGATTACCAAGCACCCAGTCATGATCTATGACTGCACAGGTATGTGACCATCGTAACTTTGAGGCTGATCGTAAGTCACTCTTTCTGAGGCTGTTATAACTTCAAACTGTTGTTAATTGGTCATAAATCAAAAACTATCTGTACAAGCCACTATACTATTTTAGCTACTATTAAAAAGGACTCTGCTTTTCTCTTCTCTGCTTTTACCTTAACAAAACTGAAATGGATTTCATTTATATCTTGCCTTTTTTTTTATTTCAAGGAACTCTAGGCACCTTTATTTCAAGAAATTCGGGGTTTCTTGCTAGTTTTTATATTGGTGAAGATTATTAAAAAAATTATGGTTATATAACTTCCAAAAGCAGGGGAATGACTTTCCATACCAGGTGCTGAGAAATAAAAACAGGAAGCTGCTATTCTACTTTCATTCTACTTTTAGCTTCTTATATAGATGGTAATTACTGAGGAATGGGTACAAAAATACATCAACATTTTTGCCTCAGCCAGAGAAGTTCTGATTATAGTCAAATCAAGAGTTTTTCAACTTTATGAAAGTTGTTGCATTATGTCCTAAATTTATCTTTATATCTCTGTCATTCAAATTGGGATTCATGTATATTATGGTCATGATAACCAAACATTCAAGATAGTAGTTTATAGAGAAAGGCAAAAGTGTTTTTTGTTCACATTGTTCACAAAGCATACAAAAATCTGCCTTAGGCAACATTGGGAACAAGCTACTTTTACTTTTGAATCCAAGACTTCTTTTTTGCCTGCTGAAAGGGGAAACAAATTTATTACAGGATTGTTACAAGAGTCAATTTAAGAGGGAAAGAAGCAGAAAGGCAAGGAAGATAAAGTACATGAAGAACTGCTTAAGCTATTCACAATGGATTACCGTGAAGTATAATACACTGTTCTATTGTGGGTAGCAGCGCCCTGGAGTTTGTTTTCTGCTTAAACTTTATTCCAAGCAATAGTGCATTGTTGTTGCCTCACTGCTAAAATATAATTAATACAGTCTTCTCCAACCACTTCTCTCTTCCTCCACCCAAAAGATATGATCCTGCATTAAACAGGGAGGTGGAAATATATTTCTTTGAAATCAGATAGATTATTTGCAGAATAAGTACATAAAGCAACATAAACTGGACAAACGGTTAAGAGCTTATCTTTTGACAAAGCTGGCCTTTTGTACCAGTTCTCTTGTCCTCTAATTAATTTCTTAAAAGCAAATACAGAATATTCATCTGCTGAGCTGACAACTATTAAATGTTATGTTATCCTGATCACTATGGAATAATAACTTTTAAGACTTTTTTTCTTGGAATATTTGTTGAATTTAAGAAGTATACATATTCAAACTCTTATTTTTATCTTATTATTTTATAAAATGTATAATTCCACATCTTAATAATCCCAAAGTGGCTATAGAACTAAAAATTTAAAAATTTAATTAAATTATTTAATTGTAAAGAAATTACTAACAAACTGTCAAAATATTGAAAAACAGCTTAAGTTATAGAGTCAGGACAACAATATCATCTGGACAAAACTATGCAGAACTAATGGGGAAATGCCTTCAATGAATAAATGAACTAGTCCACACCCTTTTAAGACAACATGTGACTAAAGAGAGAAGGAATTTTTATAATCACCATTAATATTTTAGGGGCTTTTCAAATGACAACTCTATTTTTAAGTAAAAAAAAATTATTTACAAATAATAATTCTGGTTTCCTTCATTTGCTGACCTACAACATTTATTTTCATATTGGAAAGGTTTAAATGTATGATGCTGGTTTAAAACTCACCAACCAATTGTTCTATAGTCGAGCTTCATACGAATTACCTACCCTGAAAGCTTTCCTAATGACTTGTTTTCCTATTTAAATTGCATAGTGGATATTTGGAAATTTGGAAATGATCAATAACTGCAAACAGTTTGTATCAATCCATTTTTATTACGGTCACAGATCAGCATTAACTGCAAACAGTTTGAAGGAAAAAGGACAACAAAAGTTATGAATATCTTAATATCAAAATATCAAACTCTATGGAGTCAATGCTGTATGTGCTAGCAAAAAAGTATTCAAAAGACAGATTACACCCCCATTCTCTTACAATGCTACTGAGAGATAGCATTAGTGAGTTTCTTAGGCTATTTTAAGATATAATACGAAAAATCTATGCAATTTGTACTGTAATTACTGTTCTGTGTTTTGAAGCTAAAAATCATTGTTCTTTTACATTTTTATATAATTTCCTCCAAATTATTACTCTTCCAAATTATTACTCCTTAATATCTAATATTAAATGTTTATTTTTTAACTTTTTAAAAATATGTTCCAATTAGTGTAAACTGAAAATATGTTGACATCTAAAAATACTTCATTTTATTAAAGGTAAAATAAAACAGCTGCACTCAACCGCATCAATGCATTTTTCCCAAAAAGCAAAGGAAATTCTGGGTTGGAAAAACTTCCTATTTTGAGCAGCTGACAGAGCGGGAGAAATTCCAAAATCCTTCAGAAGCTGCATTTTACTACTACTTCTTACATTATGACTCCCATAGTGATAAAACATAATTTCCAAACAGACCAACTTAATGGATAGCCCTGTTAACAAGTCCATATTAAGAAGTTACAATGTCATTCAACCACACTACCCTCAAATTCTTTTTTTCTACCATTTTTCAATACAAGTATTGAATTTATAAGCAGTATTAGAAATCCTGAGTATATAGAGAGAAGTCCGAAGTCCAAAATGCCAACATCTAAAGCTCAATGAGACAATAATTTAGTTTTCTAAGGCATTTTTTTAATGAAGTAAGCAAAAAACTTCAACAAGATACAAGAATAACACAATGAATTTATTATCAAATCATTTGTGTTATCTATGTTAATGCAATGTTAAAATTCTGTGATTATTTCTTCCCAAACCTATTACTCACTATGGCACTCTGAATCATGTGTGCGTGCACACACACTCAGAATAATATTTTATGGACACTCATAAAAATATATGCCATAACCAAGTGATCAATCTTTAAACTGCAATAATCTATGTCATTTTGCATCAACAGGCAGACTAAAATTTCAGCTCTGGAGAAATATTTATTAATCCACAGAATTAAGTACTGCCTTCACCAGTGCCATTTGATTCAAAGGCTACTTTGACACAAAAGCTTAAAGGCCAGTCTACAATTAATGGGGTTCACACAACACGATTATTAAACTATGGCTACTGTGTAATCCCAAATGTAAAATTGGAAGAGAAGTGGATTTTGCTGGGCGACGACTTCAAGCTCCTAAGCCAAGTATTTTTTTGAGTATAACTGTGACCTTGTATGAACTGCTCGTAATATGCTATTTAAACAAATATTGCAAACCAATATTTGCCTTGTGGCCAGGTCTTCAATCTGTTAAAAAAGTCTTATGAATTACGAAATCCTCAAGGAAAATGCGCAATTCAATCCAATGAGCCCTAAATGTCTCTCAGCCATCTGGGGCTAATTCCTCAAAATCTGTCCCTAACTTGGGCCAGAGTGGAGAAGTGACAGCCTGATTGAAAAGCAAAAGAACAAGAACAAGGGGGTAAAGCTTTTATAAATATAAATGGCCTCCTCCCCCTTCCTTGGGCTCCGCGGCATTGCAGCATAAAGCTTCTTCCAGCAGGGCTGTTGAAACCAAAGCGGCATCACTCAAAGGGATCCAGAGAAGTGTGGACCCGCCGGGCTGGAAAAAAATATAACCGAGCGGCCACACCCTTGGGCTCCGCGGGTGGGTACCAAAGGTGTGGGAGGGAAATGGGACCGAGCAACTTTTTGTTCCGGAGCGGCCTTACCTCTGCAAAGGGCCGCCAGCAGCAGAAGCGCTAAGGAGAGGAGGCTAAGGGCGAGTCTCCCCATGGTGCGTCGAGGGCCTTTGAGCAGCAGCTGCTTCTCTCCAAGTCTTGAGATAAACTTTTGGAGACGCCCAGAAAACGGCTTCCTCTCTTCTCGTTCTCCGCTTTGTTTTCCTTTCCCCCCCCCGCCCCTTTTCCTGCCCTCGCAGAAGGAGCGTCGACTCTTACGTAAGGACCGCAACACAACCACCCAAAGTTGGGGACCGGCCGAAAACAAGAGTGAACTGTGCTACCCCCTATACTGTGGGGGCTGCCCTCGGGGAACCGATCAACCAATCCCGGGGAGTAGCTAAATATCGGCCTCCAATCAAAAGGGTGAAGGGAATGTCTGTTAACCTCCCTCTCCCCGCGATGTCTAAGCAGGGAAAAGACACAAGCGTTGAGTCATGTCCCCGTAATAGGAAACCCGCGGGCGAGAGCTCCCAGGGGTGTGGCGCGTTTGGGATTTTTTTTTTTTCTTGTTTTAAGCTGGAGGGAAAGGGTGCTTGTGGAGTTAATTGCCGAGAGACGATTGTAAATGCTTCTGAGGTAATGGAGTTTGCTCCCGGGGCAAGAATTTAGAGATTTAGTTCGCTCGCAAGTCTTTTGATAAACGGTCCTGGCTATTAGAATTGAAGCTCATGTCCTTCTGTATTGTACCCTCTCTAGGGGCTCCAGGACTCTTATAATTCCTTAACGTGGTAAAAAAAAAAACCCGAGAAATGCTTATTTTTAATTTGTTTCCATTTTCAGTTGAGGTTAGCGTCCAAATAAAAACATTCGGTTTTGTGACGGGTGACTTTTTTTCGGACTCTCTTCAAATTTCAACTTTTGCCAGCTGCTCACTCTGGATCCAAACTAATTTAAGAAGATTGTTGTGAGTTGATCTGTAAGAGACATCATATGTTTTGAACATTCATATCTGCGTTTAAAACATGATCAACTCTCAACAATCATCTTAAATTGGTTTTTTGAAGTTGTTTAGGAGAACTGTTTTGAATTGGTGTAACAGCTTTCATGCTTTTCAATTGCTTCACCCAAGCAGTTCATAATTGATAGTTGCAGAACTGAATTAGGAATTTCTGCAAAGAAACAATTCTCTATTAAGTCTCATGCCTCTTCTGTGATATATGATTGTGTGTGTGGTACTTCTATAGAGTTATGTAACAGGTTTTTCCAAAAAGATACTCATAGTGAAAAAAAGTTGTTCCATTAGCAATGGTGGAACAAAATTCAGTATCCGTGCAATGCAGCTGTTGGGATCTGACAGGAGGTAAAGACTGAAATTATACAACATGCTTATCCTCAATTAATTGAATTGAGGATTATTATTCAGTCCAAATTTCTCTGTGTTCTAATACAGGTAATCATCAATTTACAACTATTAGTTTAATAATTGAAGTAAGATAATGCTGAAAAAAGTTATGACCAATTATTGCACTTGCAACCATCACAATATCTCAGTAATTACATTATCAAAATTCAAGTGTTTGTATTTCTGATGGCTCATGTGATCACCATTCCCAGTCAGCTTCCAACAAGCAAGGTCAATGGGGAAAGCTGGATTTCCTTAATGACTAAAGCAAATCTGGTTGTAAAATCAGGCTGAACTTACTTAACAATTGAATTGCTTAGCAATGGAAGTTCCCATTCCAATTGTAATTGTAATTCGAGGACTAACCACATTAAGCCATATATTAAGCTCATAGGCTGCATTCCTATAATGTGCCAAGCTTAAAAAAAAGTTTGCCTTTCAATTTTGTCATGCAAACAGATAAACAGTATCACTAAATATTATTAGATTCCACGTTAATTTTAGATGCTTAGAATAATTACTAGCCAATGGTAAAACAAGAAGTGGATATTGTCTGTTTAATGTAGATGGATCTGTAGTGTACAAGATGAAATGCTTTTCCCCTTCAGGGCAATATTTGTTACAACTTTCCCCCCCTTCTTCCCAAATACATTAGACTTTAATTCCCAGTTACTTATCAATCAAGTAAGTATGACTGCTGTGTGCCTACATGAACTATGTGAACAAACAGTAAAACACCATGGCAGAAGCAGTCTCACACAAAAGGAATAGCAAATTGAACTGGAAATGGAAAGGAAGGATATATGTGTAAGCTTCCATATTGGACCGTTATCATAAGGACTTTTTATGTTTGAAGCACAGGACTTCCCTGCTTAGGCTGCTATTTGAATGGTCTTTGTGAAGAAAACAGTCTTTATTATACTTGCAAACACATATGCTGGTAGCCGATTTAATAGATAAAAGTTGGGAAGTTCAGGAAGTTACATTCTCTCGAATGGTAAGCCAATTCTGCATATGCAAAGCATACAATATTATGTATATTATGTCTAATTGCTGTGATGTTAAAAATACTTTTAGTGTTAAAAGTCACAATCCCCAACATGTTTTAAATTTTAAAAACATTTACTTGTAATGATTGTAACAAGTATAGTAATTGTAGATCTGATAAATCTCACTTAATAACTTATTCAGAGATTGTTACAGCTTAAGTGGACTGAAATATAGCAATTCTGCTATCTTCTTATATCGGGAAAGTAATTTTTTTTCAGAATTTGTGCCTGATTTATGTGAGTAGATATTGCATTAAGCTGGCTGAAAATATTGCTTTGTTTCTCAGATCTGTATGCTTTCATATATCATGTAGTTAGACATCTACTTTCTTTTTTTTCTTTCCTTTTTTGCTAAATATTGTTGCCTGAAAAAGGAACTATTTATATCAATATACATTGGTGAACTATACATAATCCTGTGTGGTTAGCTGGGAGCAGAAAAGATCTGCCAGAAAGTCCTTATGGCATCCAAAGTCCTGTATATTATCAGTGGCCACAGTACTCTCCCTCCATCCTGCTGAATGCAGAAGCAAGAAATTATGCTTTAAGTTGCCAAAGTGAAGTTTCACTACAAAAACTAAATTAAAAGGGATTTGAATTAAAAAGAGGTTTGGACAATGGAATGCTGGTGCCCCAATTCCAACAAGAGTCTATCTGAGGCATCCAGGTTGAGCATGCCATCCTATCAGTGCTCCATTGTGTTAGCAAAGGGGCACACCCAATAAGATTAGGACTGCTCTGCTCTAGTGGAAGAAATTAAAGGAAGTATTCATCAGGGATGACAAATGCTATATCCATCCAGTGTTTAAACTGGTTGCAAAACTGCAGAACAACAGAATTCAAAGCTAGCTCAGCACTGTTCCTAAGCTATGATGAATCACTTAGTGTGCCTCAACTGCATTGTTATCTTGTAATTTTTCCATACCCTTCAACATTTTAATCTTATTTTATATGGGGAAAAATGCCATATTGTTGGTAACTATGACAGACACATACACACAACACATTTATTAATCAAATTTATATAATCACCCACATCACCAAAGGTGACCCTGGGTGGTGCACAACAAATGGATAAAACCACTTATAACAACTACAGATGTAAAAGAAATATTCAAAAAGCACATTAATAGAAGATATTATAAAAACAGAGATGCAAACCCTAGGCCAAAGTGGAATAAAAATAGCCAGCTCAGCAAAATAGCCAGCTCAACCCATCTAATCATGCTTCCCTGGAAGTCCCAGGCTTAATAACCAGATCTTGAAGGTCTTCCAGAATATCAAAATTGATGGAGTTAATTTAATTTCAGGAGAAAAAATGTTCCGAAAGGCAAGTGCCATGGCAGAGAGGGCACATTTCCTGAAATTAACCAAATGTAAGTCCTAGCTGATGGTATCCACATCATGCTTCCTTTGCAAGTTTTCATGGAACAGGTTGATATAAATGGGGAGAGGTGATGCCTCAGATAGGTCAAAACCAGCATTTTGAATTGATGTGGAGGCGAAGTGGCAACTCATGTAGCTTTTGTGTATGTGTGTGTATTTATATTGACTAAATTTCTTTATTGCTTACCTCCCTGATACAATGACCAGGCAGATTACAATATAATAAAAAATAAAAATTGCTAAAATGTTTAAAATTAAACAAATTGAATAGAAAAGTTAAACATTAAAAACCAAGTGATAGGTGAGTGGTAAGAACATAGCAGGCCCTATTGTGGCCCCAGACTAAGTGGGGGAGCCAAGTTTTTAGGCTTTTTTGGAAGGAAAATATTTGAGAGGCAGCCAAAAAGGGCTTTTCTCCTGGACCCCGCCAGCTGAAATTCTTTGGGTGACAGGATCTGAAGTAAGCCATTTCTGCTGGAATGAGTGGGGTGGGTTAGTCCCACCAGATGAGATGGTTCTTCATATAACCTGGACTCATGCCATAAATAATTTTAAAAGTAATGACAACACCTTGAATTGGACCCAGAAGCAAACTGGCAGCCAATGCAGCTGACATAACTGCTGACATGTGCCACTTGAGAGCCCTCAAAAACGGTCTCCAATCGCTGCATTTTGTACCAGTTGTGATTCCCAAATACTCTTCAAGGGTAGCCCCATGTAGAGCACATTGCAATAATTCAACCAAGAGATAATAAGGGCATGAATGACTGTGCAGGGCCTCACAATCCAGGAAAGGGCAACTGGTATACAAACGTGTTATCAGGTGTGAAAAACCAGGTCCACACATGAATATTCAAAGTACAATAACTGATTTATTGCTAATAGCCAATGCAAAGAAACTTCTCGGCTAATGGTCAATACCTGGTTAGAGTTAGATAAGTGTCATGGGCCTTTTGGGGGAGGGAGGTTGGACTTTATTCTTTTGTGGCTACATAGGTTATATAACTGATGTCTCATTTAACTTTCCCCTCTGGCTCTTCCAGTATTTTTCCCCACAGATATTTTACAAAGGCTTGCATAGCCACAGATGCCACCTGCTATTTGAGCAGGAGTTGGTTTAGGAGAATCACAAGATTGTAGTCTCTCGGGGGTAGGGTAGTCCCATCTAGAAATAAGGGTGATAAACTTCCAGATATCCAGGCCCCTTTAATGCACCAATATTCTACCAGGATTCATCTGAAGCCTGTTGTCCCCTATCCAAATCCCTACAGTCCCTAGGTACTGTGAGAGGGCAGCTACTTCATCACTTGGATCACCAGGGATGGAGATGTATATTGATGTTACCTTATCTATGGTGTTGGATGATGCCACTCAGCAGTTTCATGTAGATGTTAAAAAGGAGCGAAGCGAATATTGAATCCTGCCACAAAAGAGCATCTGTGGACTGGATTTCTTGCTCCTTATCAACACTGATTGGGACTAATCTTGAATAAAGGAGCTGAACCAGCGCAAGACTGTGCTACCCACCCAATATAATACCATGGTTGATGATACTGAAAGCAGCTGAGAGGGCAAGAAGAGCAAGGATAGATGCACCACACCTATCAGAGATCATCTACAATGCTGACTGAAGGGGTCCAGATTGGTGTGGGGGGGTA